CCCGTGTCCCTCACTGTGGGTCACAGTGCCCCACCTCTGACCTGGCTCCGGACCTCGCAGGAGCACTGAGTCCCGTGTCCAGCTGAGCCCTCCCCTCCGCTGCCCGCTGTGAGCGGACCTTCACCACTCGAGAGTCGAGGGGCCACCCGGCTGGGCCTGGCGTGGCACCCAGGGTGCAGGGTGACCTGCCGCTGTCCCTGCAGCTCGGTGGCCCTGTGCAAGCTGCTACAGCACGGCATCAACGCGGACGACAGGCGGCTGCAGGACATCCGGGTGCAGGGCGAGGAGGTCCACGGCGCCGATGAGGGCGTGCGCACCCGCTCCAAGGCCGCCAAGAGTAGGTGACTCGGGCGCTCTGGTGCCTGCCTCCAGCCAGGCTTAGGAGCGGGCAGGACAAGGAACAGGAGGCAGGCAGTGGGTCAGATCATAGTGGCTCCTGCCGCTGACCACTGACAGACACGCTTGGGCACCAGGGACCTTGTGTCCAGCTCTGTCCTGGGGCTTCGGTACCAAGTCCCATGGGTCTTGGTCATTGGTCGGCCGCCTTTGGCCTGTGACCCAATAGCTTCGAGGAGGGCAGGTCCGTTCCCCCCACCTGCAGGCCCATCACCCCTGGGCCACTTCCAGGCTGCTGGTCGGGGGCTGGCAGGCAGGGCTCCTGCTTGTTCTTGGAGTCTGCACTGTGTTGCCAGCCGGAGCCTTGCCCCTCACTCTGACGCCTGCACTCTGGTGGCACCAGGCCAACGAAGTGCCATGACTGAGCCGCCCTCCGTGGCGGGTGTGGTCTGGGGGGGAGTCGCCAGGGGAGCCCAGCGCATCTGACGGGCAGCCCTCCTCTTTCTCCCAGACCCTGAGCGCTGGACCAACATCCCTCTGCTGGTCAAGATCCTGAAGCTGGTCATCAACGAGCTGTCCAACGCCATGGAGGCCAACGCTGCCCGCCAGGCCGCACCCACCGAGTGGGGACAAGGTGCCCAGCCCAACCCCCGGCCTCAGTCTGGCTCACGGAGCCGGTGTCCGGTCCGCCCCACACCTGGGCTGCCGGCCCTGCTGGGCGCACACAGCTGCTCCCCGCTCTGCCCACAAGGTCTCGGGGGCTGGGCGGTGGGGGCGGTGGGCGGTCAGCGCGTCGGTCCACCAGTCCGGTGGGCGTGGGCTGCAGCTGCACCGTCTGCCCAGATGACTCCAACGACATGTGGGAGGACCAGGAGGAGGACGAGGAGGAGGAGGAGGACAGCTTGGGCGGCCAGCTCTTATCCGACATCCTCGCCACCAGCAAATACGGTGAGCCCTGGACGGGGAGGCGGCCACAGGTGCCTCTCCCACCCCGTCCACAGCTGGGACCGAAGGGACCCGTGGGCCGGCGGGGGTTCCTGGGCCACTGGGCTCCGCCCTGACCCCCTCGGTGGCCTGTCCAACAGAGGAGGACTACTACGAGGACGAGGAGGACGACGACCCTGACGCCCTCAAGGATCCTCTCTACCAGATCGACCTGCAGGTGAGGGCGCACTGGGGTGGGCGCGGTCTCCCCCGCCCTGCCCCTCCTGTGCATGGGCTGTGGGCTCCTTGTGGCCAAGTAAGGTCCTCAGGGCGGCTGGGCGGAGTGCCCATCTCCAGGGGGACCCCGACTCGGGAGCGTGCTGGGCACTGGCACTTGTGCAGAACCCGTGGGGGCTGGGCCCCTGGGGGGCCTCGCACGGTGCAGCGGGGGGCCGGCAGCCCTCCGTGACACCCCCTTCGCCCCCAGGCGTACCTCACGGACTTCCTCTGCCAGTTCGCCCAGCAGCCCTGCTACGCAGTGTTCTCGGGCCACCTCAGCGACAGCGAGAGGCGGGTCCTGCAGACCATCGGGATCTGACGGGCGCTGTCGGCGCCTCAGTCCCCATGTGGCCTGAGGGCGCGGGTCCCTCTCTGCCTGGAGCAGCTGCCTGCCTGGGCCCCGACGGTGGCCAGGACCAGGCCCGTGGGCGTGGCCACAGCGACACTGGGACGGGGCGCTTCCCTGCGGGTGGCCCGCCTGCAGAGCCCCTTCCTCCCTACTGGCACCCTCCACCCCCAGAGTCCATGCTGGCCAGCTCGGACACGTGTGTCCCCAGGGTGCCAGGTGCACGGGTCATGGGCCCCTCGGGAGCAGGGGCCCTGCCGGCCTGCGTTCTGGAGCGACCTGTTCGCATCCTGGGGCGTCTGGCGTGTCGGATGGGAAGGCCTCCGCGCTTTCCGCACAGATGCGCCGGGTCTCAGCGGGGCTCCCCGCCCTGCACAGCACTGAGGCTCCACCCCACCCCACCCCCGTTTGCATGACGGCCCCCACGCCGCGCCTGTGCGCACATATGGCGGAAGCCCCGAAGGTGGCAGTCTCTTCTTTTTTAGGGGAAAAACAGGAAAAAACTGATTTTTTAAAGTGTACCTTCCCCGACTATATTTAATACACCCCGGCCCCAACACGCAGAGGCTGCCTGCTCCCTCGGGACTCTGCCGCGCGGCGGCCGCGGCCTCAGCCGCGCAGCCTGTATTTTTCTAGGAGAGTAAAGTCCTCTTTACAGGACCGCACCGCCGCCTCTTCCTCGGGGTGGGGGAGGGGGAGTGGGGAAGGGAGGGAGTCCTTGTCGCCGCTGCCCCCCGCCGCCCACCCCCTGGGCCCTGTGCGCTCCTTGGGGCTGTGGCCTCACAGGCAGGAACTGGGAGGTAAAGTGAGCCCAGCCTGGGTCTCCGGGAAGGGTCCCGGCGTGGGGCGTTCACAGGACAGTTTCCTGTCCCTGCATGTCCAACCTGCCCTGTCCAGTCGGGGAGGATGTTCTGCTGCCCGCCAGTTCAGTGCTGAGGCCACCCCTGCCTCCACTGTGTCTCCCTTTCCGGTTGGGGACGTGCCGCTGCAGGAAAACACGGCAGGTCTGCCCACTGTGGGATCGGCTGAGGTCGCTCAAGGCCAGGCCAGCCCTTGGTGTGGGCACCAGGACGGCCCTGGGCGGCAGCACCAACTGCTGGGTCTAGGGACTCCCGGCCACCCCCGCCTGCCTCACAGGAACTAGAGTACTGAGGCCGGGACACCCCTGCCTCGCCGGCACCTGGCTGGTGGGCCCTGTGTGCCGGGCACTGTCACGTTGGCCCCACCTCATCTCCACGGCGGGTGCTCTTCCCACTGCTGCACCCAGGGTCAGGGCACGTGGGGGTAAAGGGGCTCGGGGCCCAAGGTGCTGCCCCAGGGGAGAGCTGGCTCCTGTCCCCTGTCCTTGGGGCTGAACAGAGTCACGTCGCCCTGGGCAGGGCTGGCCGCTCAGGCTCTAGGTGAGTCAGAGCAGGAACAGAGGGCTGGGCCATTCAGGTCCTGCAGCCTCCGGGCCCTGGTGCAGGGCAGCTGGGACCCTGGGGCTGTCCCAGGGTTTGCTGAGTGAGGTGGGCAGAATCGGGGGAAGGAGAGGAACACCAGCAGACGTGAAGGAGGAGGGGACAGTGCAGAAAGGCTGACGGTCACGAGTCACTGCCTGCCGGTTGCAGAGGGCGAGCCCTGGGCACGAGTGACGCTGGGGACCAAGTGCCGGGGTGCGGGCCTGTCCTTGGGAGCAGTTGGGGAGGACCTGGGCGTAGGGGCAGCACAGGACTGGGCAGATGGTGATGACACCAACTGGCAGGTCACAGCCACTCTCAGCAGTGGTCTCAGGACTGGCTATGACAGGAGTGACGGGGAGGGTCCTGACCGCCTCGCCCATTCCAGAGGGAAGCTGTAGTCAGTGACAGAAGACCTGGGCAGAAGGGAAGGTGCTGGTCACACCTCTGGGCATCAGGACGCCTTAAAGAGGGGTGACCGTTGAAGGTCCAGACACCTGGGTCTGCTGGCTGTGGAGCCAGGCAGATGAAGAAAGGGCGGTGGGCCCCAGGAAGGAGCCCCGGGCGGGCACTGGGTCCCTGGCCCCTGCTGCCGGCGGCATCTGCACAGAGCTCCTGGTCGGCCCCCCAGGGCAGTGGGCATGTCGGCTTGCCCCCGGGGCTCTGGCCTCCGCCCCCTCTGCTGCTCAGGAGAGGCCCCCGGGACCGAGAGCCATCCTGGGGAAGCCCAGCAGCCAAGTGCCCTCCCCAGGGGGCGGGGACCCCTCAAGGGCTGCGAGTTAGGAGAGACCTGCTCAGGTTTGCACTGTGGAAGACTTTTCCTGTCCAAACAGGCCAGTTGAGGGGTAAGCGCCTGTCCTGGTCCTAGCGGGGCCATGGACATGAGACAGATGTCCTGCTCCCAGCCGCACTGTGGCCCCCAGCACCCATTCATGATCCCAGAAAGGGGCAACCAGTGTCTGTCCTTCCTGGGGACCAGGATGGGGCTCCCAGTGGCCCTTCCCTGAGCTGTGCAGGGTCTGCGAGGCTCTCGTGCCCCACCCTGGTCTCCTCAGCACCATCCACCCTGCCCACTCGGGTGGGGACCCACTTGGGTCCAAAAGGCATGGTCTTGCCGTTCCCTGGATAACCGGACTGTGCCCGTGGGCTCCTAGGGTCCCCGATAATGCCTGTCAGACCCCCTGAGCCTGCAGAACTGCGGGTCTCCAGTAAGGCCCAGTCCACGTGCCTGGTAAGGTGCTCTCTCCCTCGCCTGGCCCATGACCCCTGGTCAGGGCACCCATGTAGCGTGGGTGCAGCCCCCGACACTCTGTGTACACCTGTGGGACTGATGGACCCCCAAAACACTGCACTCATTGGGCTCTGTCCTGCGCCCCGGTCAGGTGACGCCTCTGCAGGCGGCTGGGTGAAGGAGGGGCCTCCGCCCAGTGCCATGCAGGCAGGGACCCCGCCCCCCCCAGTGCACCAGCACTGCTCCCTTGCGGGGGTGGGGCTCTCATGCAGCTGTGAACAAAGAAGCTGCTCTGAGCTACTGCTCAGTGGGGCCTGTGTCCTGGGAGTGGGGGCAGGGGGTGCCCAGCCTCTCCCTGTGCCCTCCTCTGGGCGCCTCGGGCTGGACGCGGCCACAGGGAAGGTACAGCCCTCCCCTCCAGGGTCGGCCTATGTGCCCGGGGCAGACAACAGGAGCCGCCCTGGAGGGAGGGGACAGCGGAGGCTGGGGGCGTGGCTAGCGGGCAGTGTCGCCGAGGTCCAGCTTGGCCAGTCTGGCCACCACAGCAGCTCCGGTCCCCACGGCAACCCTGTTCTGCCATGCTGCTCCCAGCCATCCCCCTCCTGGTGCTGGGGGCTCCCCTGGGTAAGGGCAGGGAGCCAGGAGTGGGGCCCCTGGGCCCGTGGGGGTGCTGGCAGTTGACAGGAGCCGCAGGGGAATGGAGTCTGGGCCCTGGGAAGCTGACTCTGGGGTCAGGGGGGGAGCGCCTCAGGGAGAAACAAGGGGCAGCTTGCAGGTTGTAGGCACCAGCTGGCAGGGGGCCACCAGGTGCGGGAGCTTACTGGGGGCACCACTGGGGCTGGGGGGACCATTGGACAGGGGTCAGTGGGAGGCGGGGGCTGTGGGGAGGGGCTGAGGGCAGGCAGAGGCGGGCCTGGCAGCTCCTGGGCGCCCCACCCCGCCCACAGTGCTGGCTGGCACGGGCTGCCTGGGGCATCTGGACGAGAATGACGCCTGGCACCCGGGATTCGGCTGCCAGCCCTTCACCTTCTGCTGTGGGACCTGTCACCGCCGGTTCTGCTGCAGGGACCCGAGCTTGGCCATTTCAGAGTCTCGGCAGAAGCAGTGCCTGCGCTTCAGGTGGGCTGACCTCCTCGGAGCCGAAGTCTGCCAGGGCTGGGGCGCCCTTGATCCCATGGAGGGAGGCCAGGGGTGCACCCGGGCCACCGGGCAGCCTGTGGAAGGAGGTGTGGCCTCAGGAGGGGGCGGGTCCGGCTCCTGATCTGCTCACCTTCAGGGTGGCCTCCGAATGCGGCCAGTGCCACCCCTGTGGGGACCCCTCCTGGGGGTGTTGTGTGGTGCGAGGACACGCTGTTCTGTTTCAAGTCACAAGGTGGTAGCAGGCGTCGCCTCAGCCCTGGTCCTGTTTGTGGCCGTGGTGGCCACCGCCCTCTGCTGCTTCCTCTGCACCTGCCGCTACCTGTCCCGCCGCCGCCAGTGGCTGCAGAGCCCCCTTGCAGGTACGGACAGTGCTGGCACCAGGGCTGGACAGGCCAGCCCACGCCTGGAGGGCAGCCGGAGCTCTGGGCGTGTGAGTCCATCCCCATGCCTGCCGGGGGTGCACGTGGGCACCGGCACGAGGCCTCAGAGGTGTCCCTCATGCTGCTGGTCAGTGGGGCGTGTGCTGCGTGGGCCCTGCAGGCACAGGATGCCCGCTGAGCACAGGGCTGTGGAGAGCGCTGATGCTCTCTGTGTGAGCAATGGGCCTGGACGGTCCGTATGGGAGGGGGAGGGCTGGGGGACCCCCGCGGGCAGTTCTGCAAGATGCCTCGAGCCCCAGCTGCCCAAGTGGGTCACTCTCTGGGCTGTGCTCTCAAACCCCTGAGGTCTTGGAAACCGTCGGGAGTAGGCAGGTGTCAGCCAGCCAAGCCCAGACCGCCCTGCCCCGCCCGGGGGCATGCCCAGCTCCCTGGCCCTCCGATCAGCAAGTTCTAGAGCCCCTGGCTGACCCTCGCCCCCACCTAGGCCAGGAGATTCCACTGAGAGGCTACCTGCTGCAGCCTGTGTGCCTGCACCCCTCGGGCCCCCTGCCTGGCTCTGTGGGTCCTCCCGGGCACCCTCTCTACCCCGCAGGTGAGTGAGCTGTCTGCAGCCCTTGCTCCTGCCCCCCTGCCCCCGCAGCCTGCACCAGGCCCTCCCTCCCCATCTCCCATCTCACCCTAGGTCCCTGTCCAACTCCCTCAGCCTGGGGCTGGGGCACCCCCCAGGCTGGCTCGCCCAACACCTGCGAGCCCCGGGTCCGGGGGGCGGGGCACTTCACGTGCTCCTGAGCCCCACCCTCATCCCCTTTCCTTGACTTTCAGCTCTTCCCTCTCAAGTGCCGCCTCAGTCCGCCTTCCCCGGAGCCTGAGGGGCCGGGCTCTGCTGTCCCTCCACAGATGCCCCTCCTGTCTCTGCGTCTGGCCCTGTGGGGGGCAGGGGTCCTCCACTGGTCAGTCCCCGACCAAGCCACGCCCAGGGCCTGCAGAGGACAGAGCCCCAGGGAAGTGGGGGCTGGGCCTGGGCGCTGCACCGTGTTTACTGGGAGCCGGGGAAGGACGTGCCAGCGTGGCTCACGGCCCCTGGGTTCTTGCAGCCCCTCTGCCCACGGGCCCCTCTGTTTCCCCCTGTGGGCTGGGGCGTGACCCGCCGGGCTGCTGGAATAAAGCGGGAGTGCACGGTGCCTGGGGTCCTCCCTGTCTGGAGATGCACCCTGGGCGGGCCACCAAGACAAGCTCGGCCCAGCCGGGAAGGCGCGCCCAAGTGGGTGACAGGGCTTCCCCGCCAGCTGCGCCCCGCGAGTGGCCTGCCCCATCAGCTGCGCTGGCGGCCCCTCCCTCCGGGCTCTGCCGGTCCTCGCTGGGCCCACGAAGGCGCCCAAGCCTTGGCTCATCGGCGGGGACAGTCACGAGGGTGAAGCTGCCCCGCCCTGCTGGTCAGGGGGCACAGAACCAGGAGCCAAGCGGCGAGACAGGCGCACGGTGCCTTGTTGGCTCCCCCGCCCCCAGAGCTGTCCGGGCCTCGGCCGCAACCCCAGCTGCTCTAGACGGCAGGGAGGCTCTTGCCACAGGCTGTGGTGGGGGCTCCTGACAACCAGGTGGCAGGGGGAGCAGCAAGTACTCTTGGGGACTGGGGTCTCCCAGGGTGTCCGCAGGACCCTAGGCGAGTCCTGGGCGTCAGTGACAGAGATTTCGCACCAAACCCAGCGCACTGTGCCCTTGAGCACAAGGGAATGAGGCAGGGCACAGAGGGCGTGCTCGTCGGCAGGAGACCCCACTGTATTCGCAGCCTAAGGCTGGCACGGACCAGGACGACCCGTTCCAGTTCTAACACCTGGGAGTCCCCGTTGCATGGGTAGGGCGCTGCGCTGCGCCCCCTTCAGCCGCTGGGAGTGACGTCACAGGGGCCAGGACCCTGCACGAGGCCGCCACCAGGTGGCGCCGCGGTCCCGTGCCCGGAGGCAACGTTCCAAGGGCCGGGCCCAGCCGCTCCCAAAGGCTGGATGAAGAGCTCAAGGGGTGCCCTTTGGCTGGTGAATGGAGGTGTCCTCAGTGCGTCTCCGGTTGGGCGGGAGGCTGTGCACGGCTGCCGGGGCGGAGGGAGCCTCAGACCTGGAGAGCGGAGCTGCCGCGTGCGCAGGGGCAGCACGGGCGCTCGGTTCTCAGTGGCGGGCGCCGGCCACCCTCTGCGGCCGAACCTTCTCTGCAAAGCTCCCTGCAGAGCGGGGGTGCTGCCCGCGTCCGCGTCCGAGCACACCGTCGGCAGGAGACGCAAGCCCCCGACCAAGTCTGTGGGGTGGCCCCGGCCGCCCTAGAGGTCCCTCCCTGGCGCCTGGGGTGTAGCGGGCCGCGGAGGAGGTGCCTGGGTCCCAGCTCCGCTTGCAGGGGCAGCCCATCCTCCGCTCTCGGCCAGACCTAGCAGAGACCCCGCCCGCACCCCAAACACGGAGAAACTGCCATTCCCTTGTGGAGCCGCAGACCCAGGCACAGCCGCACAGTGCCGGTGAGGCCTCCTTAACCCATCGAACCACAGTATTGCCCTCAACGTACCCTGGTGGAGGGCCCAGGGCCCTTCGGGCTAGGACAGCCCGCAGCCAGGACAGGGGCCACTTTCCGTGCTGTGGGCACCGTGAGGAGCTGGCCGTGCACCCCGGTATTCAGGGAGGGTCAGGGAGTGAACGTGCTGAATGCAGCTCCGTGTCCTGGGACCCCTCTGCCGACCCCTGACACAGGACAAGAGTGGCCCGGCTGGCCGAGGCCTGGCCAGGGGGCTGGACAGCAGGCTCAGCTCGAGGCTGCCCAGCACCACCCTTCCTGACTCTGGGAGCTGGGCTGCAGCCACTGGGATGGCTGGGGACCCCCAGGGAGCCAAGGTGGGCACCACACTGGGGCCCCGGGCACAGGACAGAGGTGGGCACAGCCTCTCAAAGCTAAAGGCTTGTATATATTATCAAAATCTTATGGAAAAAGACACAGCCATTCACAATAGCAGCAGGTGGGTGTAAGGAAATGTCTGCTTTGGCATCGAACCTTCAGGTCCGGCTGCTGTCTGTCTGTCTGTCTGTCTGTCTCCCCCCCCCCCCCCCACCGCCAGGCACATCCATCGAGGCCAGCTGCCCCATCATGTGCCCTGATTAGCCACCGGGGCGGGGGCAGGGGCGAGCTGAGGTGTTCCCAGCCCCTCGTCCGTCCCGCCCCTCTCTCCATCTTCTGCCCCCGCCCTGCACAGAATGCCCCCAGCCCAGCAGCTCTGCCCGGGGCTCCTCAGAGGCCTGGATCCTGGCCCCGGGGGGCGGGGAGCTGGGCTGTGACGTGGACCCTGTGGGACACCCTGGGTCCCACCATGATGCCATCTTCTGAGGGACGTACGGAAAGGACTCTGCTTGTCCAGAAACGTCCGCTCCGGGCGCAGAGGAAACGCTGGGACAAGAGAGCGTGGCCTGGGCCCCCGAGGCCCCGGCAGACCCGGACGTGGCAGCAGGTCGGCCGGGGCGGGGGCGGTGCCCGCAGCCGGGAGCTACTGCAGCAGCTTGGGCACCTCCACCTGTAAGGACAAAGCGGAGGGTCAGGGGCAGCCCGGCCGTCCCAGAAGCAGGCCCTGCAGTTTGGGTCCAGGGGTGAGGCACAGGGCGGTCTCCCTTTCAGGAAAAGTGGCTGCCGACTGGGACACCAGCGAGCCTGTCCCTCCTCTCCTGCCGTCCAACCCCCAGCAATGTTGTGGGGCAGGATCGGGTGACATGCCCCTGTCCCCAGGGAGCAGAGGGACCAGATGGCTGGTGTCCCAGCAGTGCACGTCACAGGGAGGCTCTGTGGACAGAGGGCCCAGAGCTTTGGAGCAGGTGGTCGGAAAGTGGGGTGCGGGGAGAAGGGCCGAGGCTGACACCCCATGGAGCGGCTGTGTGTGGCTTCTAGGAGGAGGTGCAGCCCCTTAAAGGGAGGACAGTCCTCTCTGAGGGGCAGAGGTGCCACCTGGAGGCGGGGGGCAGACGGATGACCCTGGGCATCTGCATGATGCCTGAGGCCTGACTGGCTCCCTCTGCCTGTGCCCTCCGGGGTCCCCTCCCCCTCGGCAGCCCCCAGCCACTTAACTTCTTGAGCTGCTTCAGGTTGCTGGAGCGGATGGCAGCCAGCAGCTGGTCGCGGGAGTTCTTCTCCTGGGCAGGGAGGACCTTGTCTCCCATCTTCCTCTGGGTGGCTGGTGACAGGGAGTTCCTCAGGGTCTCCACCATGAGGGGCGGGGCCAGGGGAGGTGGCGGTGGGGGCGGGGCGGCCGGGGCCCCCCCTCTCTTGGGCGAGTTCTTGGGAGAGGCCTTCGGAGACGGCTGGGGCGAGGGCCCAGGGGAGCCCCCGGCCGGCAGCCCGCCCTTCGGCACCTCCAGCAGCCCCTTCTTCTCCGCGGCCGCCTCCTGCGCCTGCCGCTCCTGCAGGCGCTTCTGGCGCTGCCTGTCCATGTTGCGGCTGAGCAGGTTGGTGACGGTCATGCGGGGCCCCGCCAGCTCGAAGTGGTAGCCCAGCTTGAGCAGCGTGGTGTTCTCCTTGAGCAGCCTGGCGATCTCCATCTCGGTCTTGCCGCCGCAGATGTGCCGCTGGTTGTGGAAGCGCAGCTCGGTCAGCGTGCTGTTCTGCAGCAGGGCCCGGAAGATGGCCAGGATGCCCTTGCCCGTGATGTGGTTGGAGTCCAGGTTGAGGCTGGTGATGGTCCTGTTGCCCTTGAGCATTATGGCGATGGCGAAGGCCACGTGGTCGTCGGCACGCGTGTTGGCCAGGGCGAAGGCCCGCACCGCCGTGTTGAACTCCAGGGCCTCGGCGAAGCGCACCAGGATCTCGTTGGTGATGCAGTCGGAGTTGTTGAGGTTCACCTCGGTCATGCTGGGGTCGTCGTTCCGCACTCTCTCCAGGGGCTCGTCAAAAATGCTGGGTGCGGCCTCCTCCTCCGCAGGGGCCGGCCCCTCGGGGGGCCTGGCGGGGCCGCAGGGGCCTTGCTCCTCAGTGGCCTTGGGCTCTCTCTCTTTCGTGGTCTTGGGCTCCCTGTCCTCCGTGGGCCCCCTTGGGCAGGGGGGTGCCCCCTCTTTGACTTTGTCACCATCCTTTCCTGTGTCTGCGCCCCTGCTCTCCGGTCTCAGCTCCTGGCCCTCCTGCCTGGCAGCCTCGGCGCGATCGACCCCTCCCTTTCCCTTCCCTTCCTCTCTCTTCTTGTCCTTGTCCCTGCCTCTCGGCTTGTCCTCCTTCTTGGGGGCTGCCTTGCTGTCCCCCTGCCCGACCCCGCTGGCCTCGGTCTTGTCCACGGCGGCCCTGACCCGGCCCCTGTCGATGCCCCGGAGCAGCCTCTCCTCCCTGGGCTGCTGGGCGCCTGTGCCCTCAGTGTCCTCTTGGTCTCTCGAGAAGCTTTTCTTCAGGGCCCCCCGCCTGGGCTCCCTCCCCAGGTCTGAGTCCCGCCGGGGGCCCAGGGCCTTTCTGCTGGCGTCGCTGGCCTTTTCCCCTCCGTCCCTGGCGTCTGTCTTGGTCTCCACTCGCTTGCTTTCCTAAGAATTCGGCAAAGAAAAACAAACATGAGGAGCCGGCCCCAGGGCAACAGGGACCCGCCTGGGGGCCCGCCAAGAGGACACAGGAGATGGTTCAGGCTCAGGCAGCGGAGCTGGGCTGACCACAGTCCCCTCCCAGGGGCCCAGGGGCCCCCAGGTCCCTGGGCCAGTGCTCCCCTTTCCGGCCCTGCGGAGTACACAGAGCCTGTTCAGGCAGGCCCTGCGGAGCCACACTGGAGCCGGATACAAGAGGGAAGCCCACGGAACCTGGGCCCTGCTTGTTTACAGCCTGGGAGCTGCGCTCTTCGGGGCTTCCTGCATCGCATTTGGTTTTCTCCAGTAGTCATGCAGACAGCACTCATCTTGGCCCCAGGGCTTCCTGGTGCCCTTGGTGTCCTGGGCTTCAGCCTACACTGCGCCCGCCACACCCTGGGTGTCGCCCTGCCTGCCACGGAGGTCAGTGGTCCTCAGACTCGGGGCCTGGACGCCAGTCCCTTTTCAAAGTGGGGCCAAAGGTCGGAGGGACTAACGTCAAACAGCTGACTTTTGCCCTGGCGGGTGCAGCTCAGTGGATTAAGCACTGGCCTGCGAACCAAAGGGGCACCCCCAGTAGGGGGCGCACGAGAGGCAACCGCACATTGATGTTTCTCTTCCTCCCTTTCTCCCTCCCTTCCCTTCTCTCTGAAAATAAATAAGTAAAATCTTTAAAAACACCCCAAACTGCTGATATTTTATTCCACCCACAGGGCATTTTTACACTCTCTCTGCTGGGTCCACTGCATTGAAACCAGGAGTGACCGCAGACTTGCTCGCCAAGTGTGTGTGGCTCTGTGATCACCCACAATATCTCCCCTTTTTTTTCCAGTAGAAACTTTGCTAAGGACTGGACCTGCCTGTGAGGAGCCAGGGGGTCCGGCCAACCTCGGACCCTCGGACCCTCGGACCCTCGGACCCCGTGGCTGCACTGGGGTCACACACACACCAGGGAGGGGTGCGGCGGAGGTGGGCGGGCCACGCAGCAGGACCCGAAACCTCCCCCGGCCGCTTCTCCACTGCACCGCGCGGAAGTCGGGGCCTCGGGTGGGCAGCACTTGCTCCCCAACGTTGGAGGAGGCGGGGTGTCTGGCCCCGCTCACAGCCAAGACGAGAGGAATCCATCAGCAATGCAGCACCCAGCACCGGGGCGCAGCTGGGGCCTTGGGACCTCTGCAGGTCCTTCCTTCAAGGTCAGTAAGAGAAGAGGGTGTGGCCTGGGTATTAGGAAGGTGTTCTGTCATTTGGGGTGCTGGGGAACAGGGGACGTGGGGAGGAGGGACGGAGGACTCCGGCGCCCCCACCCCCCAGGCGGGGTGCAGAGCTGGTGTGTCCTATGGAAGCAGTTTGTACCTGAAGCCCAAACACAGGCAGTTGGGACCGGCCTGGGGTTTATTTAGCAGCAAAAGTCCTTGGCTCCCCAACTAGAGTCACAGCCAAGGGGCACAGGGCCTGGTGAGACAGGCCCTTGGAATGTGCCCGCCCCCTCCTGCCCCCTGGGCCGGGCAGCGGCAGGGGACTCACAGGGCTGGGGGAGGAGCAGCCCTCACGCTCCCTCTGGCTCCCAGGGACTGGCTGTGACCCCGTGGGTCACCCTTCCAGGCTGGGGCAGAAGAGGCGGTGACTTGACCCGAACCTTGATTTCAAAGGTGAGGAAGACTCGAAACGCACAGACCGTCACAGGAACCCAAGCGGTCACCTCTCTGGTCAGGACATGCCTATGACCTGCGTGCAGTCTGGCCAGCAAACAGCCTCTCCCTCCCCACTGCCCTGTCCTGATGGTCTCCGCACGGGCTCCTGCAGGAGTTCGGAGGTGGCAGCTGGGGCAGCAGCCCCCAGGCAGGGCCAGCCACGCTGCCTCTGCCCTGCCTCGCCCTGGTCCCCAATGCGCACACGGCGAGGCCTCTCTGGCCCCCGCACCCTGCCCAGCGCCCTCTGCAGAGTTCCCACGCCACTCCCGGGCCCCGAGAAGAGGAAGCTGGGGATCTGGAGGGATGAGACTTAACCAGTTTCACCCACAAGCTCGGGGACACTTGGGCTTCAGGCCTCTGTCACTAGCAGCAACCGAGTCACCTCCTCTGACCTCGCCCAGCCTCCTCCAGGGTCCCCCACCACGGCTCCCTCGGGGTACACCCTGGCCCTGGGGGACCTGCCACGTGTCTGTGCTTGGGAAGCGGTGCCAGACCTTTAAAAAGAACCTCGTGGAAAACAGGCTGGGGGGCGGGGGGCTGATGAACCGGTTTCCTCGGAACAGAGCGGAGCAGCACGGCCGGGCTGCTGCAGCCGTGTTGCCTTAAAAGGAGACAGAGCCCGACCGGAGCAGAGCAGCAGAGCGGGGCTGCCGCCTCCCCCCCGCCCCCCCGCGGGAGTCCAGGCCAACTGCTCGGCCTGCAGAACCGGGGGTGCATCCTGCTGGACCCCACAGGTTGTTCTTGGCCTGGGCTCCTGCCTGCAGGCTCACTGGGCAGCTCGCCCCTGGTAGTGAGAGGGGCTCACTCGGACGCTGCCAAGGGCCTCCACAGAGCAGGGGCCTCGGCCGAGATGAGGCGGCAGCCGTCCATCCATTTCCCTTTGGGGGGCATTGGGCTGGCGCAATGTGGGGTGTGGTTTGGGAGCCCCTCCTGGAGGCGGGGGTGCAGAGGGGACCCCTGGAGACCTCCAACAGCCCGCGACACATTTGAGGACCCAGCTGTGCGCCCCCCGCCCCCCATCTCCTCCAGGCCACACAGCCACGTGGCCTGGCTCTGCATCTGAGGTCGGGATGCACAGGAAGGGTCTGGCAGGTTCCGAGGGGCAGAACCTGGGCTCCCGGCCTCGGGCTGCCTGGGCCACCCCCTCCGTGAGTTTACTGACTGCCCAGAGGATGTTTACCACCTGCATCACGCAGGGGCAGAGGAGAGGAGCTTAACCGGGTCCCCAAACCACAAGCACTGGCCCCAGGAGCTCAGGCCACACCAGGCCCTCTCCTTTGTGCCAGGACCCACTGCGGCACCAAGGTCTCTGCAGGGGAGCCTGCCCTGGGGGTCTGCAAGGGGACCCTGCCTCCCAGAGGCAGCACCAAGACCACGCCACCTGGGAGGGACAGAGCCCGGGGGAGGGGACTGCGTCTGCCCCTCCCCCAGCGCAAGGCTGAGTGGGTGCCACTGGGGTGTTCAGGGCCTGCAGTGTCCTGTCTGCAGGTGGCCAGAATGTCCCAGCTCAGGCCCCTGGCTGGGGGCAGGGACTGTCCCCAGCCCTCAGCCGAAGTCCCTGTGGACACTGGCTGCCCGGGGCGTACCCAGAGAGCTCATCACGAGACTGGGTGTTGCTGCTTCTCCTCTGAGGAGGGCTGGGGCCAGGGCCATCTCCCTACAGCCACCTGGGGTCCTTCTGAGATATGCCAGGTCCCCTGGGAGAGCAGCCCCTGCACCAGGCTGGACAGGAGGGAGGCCCCAGGCTTGTGGGACCTGCCATCGGGGCGCCAGGTGCTCCCTCCTCAGCCCGCTGCTGGGGCCCCGCCACAGCAGCAGAGATTTCCCACGCAGCTTCCCACGGGGCTCAGCACGGACCCCCAACTGAAAAGGGCCTGCGTGGGCCCTGGGTGGAGTGGCTCAGTGGGCGGGGCATCATCCGGCAAAGCGAAAGGTGGCCGGTTCGATTCCCAGTCAGGGCCCATTCCCACATTGATGTTTCTCTCCCTCTCTTTATCCTCCCCTCTCTAAAAACAAACAGATAAATATTAAAAATTAAGAAGAAAGAGCCTTGGCTGATGTGGTTCAGTGATTGAATGCCAGCCTGCAAACTAAAGGGTCACAGGTTTGATTCCCAGTCAGGGCACATGCCTGGGTTTCTGGCCAAGTCCCCAGTAGGGGGCGTGTGAGAGGCAACCACATACTGCCGTCAGGGCGCAAAGGGGCAACCCAAAGTTGGGGCAGTGGCCAGGAGCTGGGGTCAGGGCTGGCCTGGGGAGGTGGCGGCCCGCAGAGAGAGCCCTGCCTCACTGGAGAGCTCCCTCACTGGAGCCTGGGAGGGCAGTGACCCCAAGTGTGTCTCCGAGCAAAGCCCAGGACCTGGCCTTTGGCCTTGGCACCAGCAAAGGAGCAGCGGGAACTGCCATCGGTCGAATGGAGGGCCAGCGCCGAGCCGCGGATGACTGCTGTGCCCAAACACGGAGCAGCTGCGACAGGTTCGCCACGGAGTAAGCAGCCAACCCCAGACCGGCCGCTGCCCGGCGCGGCCCTCTCGTGGCCCCTCTCCCAGGAGGGTGTGTGGGCGAGGGAGTCTCGTGCCCTGCACCACAGACGGTGTCACTGCTGAATTCGGACACTTCCTGAAGGGCACACTCAGAACGTCCTTCCTTTCCAAGGCAGGACGGCCGCGTCTCGGGGACCCACTCATCCGTGGACGTGGGGCCGCTCCCTGCGTCCGGCAGTCGAGGCCAGTGGCACTGTGACTGGCTGTGCACGCGTGGCCGGTCCGTTCGAGGCCCCGCTGTCAGTCCGGCAGGTGTGTCCTTGGCGGTGACTGGTCTGCACCCCTGCCCCGACCACTCCACCTCCGACCCTGTGCGAGCGTCAGGCACTGGCGGGAGACCGGCCCTCCATCCGACCAATGGCAGTTCCCGCTGCTCCTCTGCTGGTGCCAAGGCCAAAGGCCAGGTCCTGGGCTTTGCTCGGAGACACACTTGGGGTCACTGCCCTCCCAGGCTCCGGTGAAGGCTGCGGCGAGCGTCGCCACGGGCGGGCACAGGGAGTTCTCGGGGAGTCAGCTGCTCACAGCTCTGTTCCTGCCCCTCGGCCCTCATGCTCCCCGCCCCAGAGCACCGGTCACGTCTGCCTGCTGCCCAGGAGTAACCAGAAACCGCAGACGGACGGACGGATGGACCAACAGACAGGATTCGCCACTCCCCGGCGCCAGGTGGTGAGTGCCAGTGCTGAACAGGAGGTTGGAGGGTCTCCGGTCTCGCCTGCAACCCCTGGTTCATCACT